ATCTTGTTTTCTCCATCAAAGTTCAATTAAAGCTTTGCTGTATATAGTAGTCTGGGTTTGAATCCATGGTTTCTAAGTTTCTGCAGAACAGCTATCAAGGACCTTCTGGCTTTCATGACTTCCATTGAGAAGTCAGGTGTGAATCTGATGTGATTTCTTTTATATGTTACTTGACTTTTGTCATTTGCAGCTCTTAAAATTCATTCTTTATTACGTGTGTTTTGTGTTTTGATTATTATATGGCAAGGGTTTTTTTTTTCTAATCCAGTCTATTTGATGTTCTATAAGCTTCTAGGACCTTCATAGGTGTATTCCATTTATGTTTGGAAAAGTTTCCTTCTATAATTTTGTTGAATCTCTTTTCTGTGCCTTTGAGAGAGAATTCTGCTTATTCTAACTCATTTATTATCAGGTTTGGTCTTCTCATGGTATTCCAGATTTCCTGAATGTGTTGGAGTAAGAATTTGTTAGATTTAGTGTTTTCTTTGACCACTGAGATTATTTCCTCAATAGAATCTTCAGTGCTCAAGATTCTTTACTCTTTCTCTTGTATTCTGTTGGTTTTACTTATTTCTGTAGTTTCTGTTCATTTACTAGATTTTTTCATTTCCAGAGTTCCCTCAATTTTCATTTTCTTTTATTACCACTATTTCTATTTTAAGTCTTTAACTGTTTCCTTTGCCTGATTGATTGTATTTTTCAGTTTTCTTGGTTGTCTTTGAGGAATTTATCTATTTTTATCAGCTTTTTGTTTGTCTTCAACTCCTTTACTTTAAGAGAGTTTTTCACTTCCTCTTTCAAGGTCTCCATCATTTTCATTAGGTAACACTTAAAGTCCTTTCCTTCTATATCTTCTGGGTCAGGATGATCCAGTCTTCCTGTTGTGTGTCCTCTGGTTTCTGGTGGTACAATGTTGTTTTGTAGGATGTTGGAAGAGTTCTTGCATTGGCACATTCCCATCTCTTCTTTCAACTCTTCTATCTCTTAAGTCCACCAAAAGTTGGCGTCCTTGGAGCTTTCAGGGAACAATGCTTGGGGGAAACTAAAAATAACCAGAAGAGATGAAGAAGTATACATTATTGTCATAACAGGAGCAATTCATCAAGATGCAGTCTCAATCCTGACTGTCTATTAAACTAATACAAGAGCACCTAAATTAGCAAAAGAAGCATCACTAAAACTTTAATCACATCAAAACCTAAACCCAGATAGTAAAAGATTTCAACACTCCTGCCAATGGACATGTAAACCAGACAAAAATTTAACAGATAAATAAGAGAATTAATGATGTAATGTATTAAATGGGCTTAATAGCTATCTATAGAACAATCCAACCAAACAGGAAGGAATATACCATTGTCTCAGCATCTCATGGAGACTTTTCAAATATGATCACATACTTGGTAACAAAGCAAACATCCACAGATACAGAAATTGGAGTAACCATATCAATGTTATTGCATCACACTGGGGTAAAGATAGAATTCAATCACAATACTACACCCTTTATTAAAACTGATGTGTCAACTACTGTGTTACTTCTGGGTCAAGGAAGAAATAAAGAAAGAAATTAAAGTCATCCTTGAATTCAATGAAAAGAAAGACACAACATATCCAAAGCTATGGGACACTATGAAAGCAGTGCTTACACGACATTTTATGGCACTAAGTGCCCACATAAAGAAAAGGGAGAAAGCTCACATTAAAGATTTTTCAGCAGACTTGAAAGCTCTAGAAATAAAAAGAATAATACTCATTCAAAGAAGTAGAAGAATGGAAATAATCAAAATGAGGTTTGAAATCAACAAAATAGAAACACAGAAATCAATCCCCAAAATCAATGAAACAAATAGACAGCTCTTTGAGAAAATCAAGAAGACTGAGAAACCCCTATCCAAACTAATCAAAAGTCAAATACACAACACTCAAATGAACAAGAGCAGAAATGAAAAGGAGGAGAGAACAACAGAAACTGAGAAAATTCAGAGAATTATTAGGTTCTACTACAAAAAGCTATATGCCAAAATCTAAAACAACAGGACATTTTTAGATTAGTAACATATATCAAAGTTAAATTAAGACCATGTGAACAATTTAAATAGACCTATATGTCAAGAGGAAACTTCCTAACCAATAAAAGTTATGGAACAGATAGTTAAATCCTGAAAGCTACAAGAACTACCAAACATAGCTAATACCTATATTCCTTAATGTGTTTTACACTATAGAAATGGAAGAGTCATTGCCAAACTTTTTTTATGAAACTACAGTCACCCTGATACCAAAACCACACAAAGACTCAAGTAAGAAACAGAGTTACAGGCAAATCTCAATCATAAACATCAATGCAAAAATTCACAATAAAATACTGGCAAACCAAATCCAAGAGCACATTAAAAAGACTCATCCATTATGATCAAGTAGGTTTCTTCCTAGAGATGCAGGTCTACTTCTACATACTAAAATCTAACAATGTAATCCATCATATGAATACATTTAAAGAACAAAACCATATGATCGTTTCATTAGATGCTGAAAAAGCATTTGACAACATTCAACACCCCTTTTTGGTAAAGGTCTTGGAGTAATTAGGGATAGGACAATTATATCTAAATATAATAAAAGCAATATACAGCTAATCAACAGCTAACATCAAATTAAATGGAGAGAAACTCAAAGCCATTCTACTAAAATCAGGAAAAAGACAAATCTGTCCATTCTCCCCATATCTCTTCTATATAGTGCTTGATGTTATAGCAATAGCAGTAAGATAACATAAGGAGATCAAGGGGATTCGAATCAGAAAGGAAAATGTCAAACTTTCATTAATCACAGATTATATGATAGTGTACATAAGTGACTCAAAAAACTCTACCAAAGAACAGGTTCAACTGAAAAATACCTTCAGTGATGTGGTAGGATACAAAGTCAGCAAAAAAAATTAATAGCCCTTCTATACACAAGAGATAAAGAAGCAGATAGAGAGAAATTAAATAAGCATCACATTTCATGATAACCACAAATAGCATAAAGTATCTTGGGGTCACACTAACCAAGAAAGTGAAAGATCTATTTTAGAAGAACTTTAAGGCTTTGAAGAGGATACAAGAAAATGAAAGGATCTGCCATGGTCTTGGATTGATAAGATCAGCATATTAAAACTGGCAATTCTACCAAATGCAATCTATAGATTCAATGCAATTCCCATCAAAATCACAACAAAATTTGTTACAGACCAAGAGGAAATAATAATCAACTGTATACAGAAAAACTACAAAAATCCAGGATAGCCAAAACCATCCTATACACTGAAAGAACTTCTGAAGGCATAACATCACTGACTTCAAATTATATTACAGCACTACATTAAAGAAAACAGCTTGGTATTGGTATAAAAATGGAGATATTGACTAATGGAATTGAATTAAAAGATGGATATTAGTAAACCAACCTTTGAACACCTAATTTTTGACAAAGAAGCTAAAATTATACAATGAAAGAAAGAAAGCATCTTTAACTAATGGTGATGGTATAACTGAATGTCAACCAGTAGAAAAATGAAAATAGATCCACATAATACACACAAATAAAAATGTAAAAAAAAATGTTTTTCAGATGTATGAACAAGTAAGCAAGAGAAAATACAAAGATGAGAAATTGTCAAAATTCTAGCACATTTCATTGCTCTTCATGCTACTGACACTCGTTGTATATGTATAGTGGAATTCCTACTGTACATATCCTGGAGTGGGACTACATATTTTCTCCAATTGCACATTTGATGTCTCCATGTTGGCAACCTGAAATTGGTAGTGGCAAAGGTACTTATTCCACAACAGTAAGCACACACCCCATGCCTGTGCTGGCACACCAGAATTTCTATCAACACCCACAGAAAAATCAGGTGAATGATAACAGCATTCACCAAAATATTGAATTTCCAACAAAATTCCCATTATTTCCATTATTTGCTAACCAAGAGTTTCGAAAACTCTTGTCAGCAGTTCCATAGGATGCTAGGGATTTGTGAAATGTCACTTGTAACTCAGTTTTATCTGAAGTCATTTGTGACTTAAAGAAGTCATTTGAGTTCAAGGGTGCCTGCTCTTCTTTTCCCAGTAACTCTGAGGACTATGAGTAACATTTGGGCTGGTGTATGCCAGCTAGACGCCCACCTAACCAGAGATTAGAAGCTCCTTAGCTGAGATACTTCACCAGCTTGAGTTTCCTCCCAAAGGCAATGCCCTACTGCTCTTTACTCTGACTTTTGCCTGTAACTAGTATATATGTTGGGTGAGAAATAAACTCAGGAGAGTTTAGTATTTACCTTCACTCCTCCAGGTGTTTCTAATGTTTCTGTCTTTATTTTTCTTACTCTTCCATTTCCTATAACCTCACAATCCTTCCCAGATACTCCTTGCTTTTGAAATAAATAAATCTGTTTAACAATAATTGAACACTCAGAATAATTTATCTACCAAAGATCGCTGACAATTTTTTATGCCTTTGTATACATCCTAAATAAGGTGGGCCAAAGAAGTGTGTGGAGCACTAATAGGAGAAGCAGGTTTGCCCAATAATAATGAAGCCCATGCTTGGAAGTGGAACCCTAAGAAAAGAGGCTCTGTGACAATCTATCTTTCATCTGAAGGTGGATACAAGGCAGTGCTATTGCCCTGAATCCATGGTACAATTGCTGGCTTGTGAGCAGATGTCCTGCAAGCAGACATGAAGCAAAAGAGACTCATGCTGACAACAGGATCCATAGCTGCTACTGAAAGATCACAGTATATATCAATTTAGGAGGCTGCCGAATAACATTTCGAAGGAGGGATAAGGTAGCTGGGAAATACGTGTGTAGGTCAAATGACTTTCCCACCAAAATGGGATGGAAAATGATTCAGTTGCTGTAGATACTGTAGTGCATTTTGAGTGTGGGGGAATATCCAGCAGATTCTCTACCAGTAACACAGATATCAAGAAGTTGTGTTGTGAGTCTTCCGCCGCACGTGTTTTCAGAGAGATGCCTAAATCTAAGCGAGACAAGAAAGTTTCCTTAACAAAAACTGCCAAGAAAGGCTTGGAACTGAAGCAGAACCTGATAGAAGAGCTTCGGAAATGTGTGGATACATACAAGTACATCTTCATCTTCTCTGTGGCCAACATGAGGAACAACAAGCTGAAGGACATCCGAAATGCCTGGAAGCACAGCCGGATGTTCTTTGGCAAAAATAAGGTGATGATGGTGGCTTTGGGGCGAAGCCCGTCTGACGATTACAAAGACAACCTACATCAGGTCAGCAAGAGGTTGAGAGGTGAAGTTGGGCTCCTCTTTACCAACCGCACAAAGGAGGAGGTGAACGGGTGGTTCACAAAGTATACAGAAATGGATTTTGCTAGAGCTGGGAACAAAGCAACTTTAACCGTGAACCTGGATCCAGGGCCCCTGAAGCAGTTCCCTCATTCCATGGAGCCACAGCTGAGTCAGCTGGGCCTGCCCACTGCCCTCAAGAAAGGTGTGGTGACCCTGCTATCTGACTATGAAGTGTGCAAGGAGGGCGATGTGCTGACTCCAGAGCAGGCCCGGGTCTTGAAGCTTTTTGGGTATGAGATGGCTGAATTCAAGGTGACCATCAAATACATGTGGGATGCCGAGTCGGGGAGATTCCAGCAGATGGACGGTGAACTGCCTGAAAGCGCATCTGCATCTGAGGGAGAGTCAGAAGAAGAGGATGACAGCTGACTCTAGGGTGTGGGACGAAGGACTTCCAGCAAGTTCTTCATCTCCATTGGACACCAGGACTGCTGTCACCCCTCTGAAAGGAGCAGCTCTTTATCTTGACATGGATGCGGACAAGAGAGGAAGCTGGGGTGGGACTTTGTTTCTACAAAGAATAAAATCTTGTCCTCAGGGTTTCCCCTGTAGATGGCAAGAGACTTTTCCTAGTAAAAAAGACTTTCAGCTTTGTGCTTCTGTTTGGGCCTGCACAGCCTGGCCCCTCAACACCACAGCCCTGCAGATAGCTGCCAGCAGCGCCCAGGCTCAGGTGTGTTCTAGCCCTTTGTCTGAAGTGCATTGACTGAGGAGAGTTTTGAGCCCGGGCAACTTCATCACATGGGAGAGGAGGTAGAGACTGGTAGATTAGGAATTCAAAGTCCACCTGGGCTACCAAAGACCTTGTCTTAGAAACTAAAACAAATAGCTTGATAGATAAATTGGAGTTGAGGGCATTGGTCACTTGTTAACTTGTATTGCGTGTCATAGATCCTTCAAATTTGGGGAGACAAAGGAAAGGGCTGGAACTGGTACCTCCTACCTGTCGTTCACCTAAGTGTTTACCAAAGGTTAGTAACAATACAGCAGTTTCTTCTGGTTTTTCTATTCAAGAATATGAAAATATATATTCACACAAAACCTTAAAAAAAAAAAAAGTTGTGTTGTTATCAACTGAGTGAGCTAAAATTTCATAACCATTACACCAATGTTTTCTAGCTAGCATGTATCTGGCATAAAAGTGCAGGTGGCTAGAAGAATCATATTGGTAGGATCCAGGCCCATAGGCAAACTGTATTTTTGACATAAATTTGGAAATAACCTAAAAGTATTACATTAAAAATAGCTTATAGGACAGTATAAAGTACTTACCACTCAAGTTTGATGTCCTGAGTTGAATTACCAGAACTCATGATATAAGGAGAAATCAGACATATGAAGACGATTCTCAAACTTTCATATGGGAATGAGGATATGTGCATGGCTGCACTCATACATATATATCCACACAATGTAATCATAAATAATTAAAAAGTATATATTCATTAAGAAAAAAGAACACATTGTCATCACACAACTGTATAGATATGACAAGTCCCCTGCTGTTTAGAAATTCGTGTGAAAGGCCTGCACTCTACTTCACAGTATTCAGTGACATATGCAGTGACTCCTAAGCTGTTGCTCCTCAAATGATTTTGGGATCACTGTAAGGGTGGAACAGAGCATGTTTATAAGTCATGTGCAAAAGAGCCAGTGCCAGCATGATGGAGCAACTAGAGAAAAAGAGAAAGTGGACAAAACCATGCACACATTTCTGCTAAATGGAAGTGCTAAAGAAAGAAACTAGTTTGAAGAAAAAGCAAACAGTGCTTCCATGATGGAGTTTCTAGAGAAAGTAACCAGGGAAAAAGGACAGAGGGCTGTCATCGTGGAGCTTCTACAGAAAGGAACCAGGGGGAAAATGTACAGAGTACTACCATGATGAAGCTCCTAGAAGAAACATCACTTGAAAGAACATACAGTTCTGGCATGATGGAACAGGTATGTGAAGAAGCCAGTAGAAAAAAACATGTACATAATGCTGCCATGATGGAGCTTCTAGAGAAAGAAACCAGGAGAAAAATCATGTACAGAGTCCTGCCATGATGGAGATTCTAAAGAAAAAAGAAACAGGGAAAATTCATGTAGAGATTGCTGTCATGATGGATCTGAAAAAGAAAGAAATCAGGGGAAAGAATCAAGCACACAGTGCTGTCAGGATGGAGCTGGAAGAGAAAGGAGCCAGTGGAAAGAACATTTACACAATTTTGCAATAATGAAACTGCTAGCTCTTTCTCCCTTCCCCCTGGGGCAACAAGATCTCCCCAGAGCAGCTCCCTTGCATGCTGAGCCTGGGCTGTGGGCTCAGCCAGGCAGGGGCAGTCCCTGTGCTTTGAGAGCCTGCCTGACAGGCAGGCCCTGAATCAGCTCAGCCACATTCCTGGACAGCAAGAGACAGTGATCTTCTAGCCAACATCCACTGGAGGAGGGGTGAGTTTCCTCCTGGCCTGAGAACTTCGGCTAGGAGGAATTCAGACTTTTCCCACCCCCTCAACTTTCTGGTTGCCCTGCAGTGGTGGTTACACCCTGCGGAGCTCTCCAGAATCCCATCCCAGCCTTCATCCAGGTACACATTCCTCTCTTTCCTCCTTTCCCCTGGGGCCACAAGATCTCCCCAGAGCAGGTCCCTTGCGTGCAAGGATGGGGCTGTGAGTGCAACCCGGCACCAGGGAGTCCCTGTGTTTCAATAGACTGCCTGAGGAAAGGTAGACCTTCTGTCAGTGAAGTCCCTGCCCTACAAGGTACCAGAAGATCCAATATAGAGCAGTTGAAGGAAGAGATGGGCAGATGCCAAGGCAAGAACTCCTCCAACAATCTAAAAAACAACGTGAAATCACCAGATCCCAACGACCCTACATTAGAAGGACTTGAACCTCTTAGTTTAGAAGAATTGGAAAAAAATGCCATGATGAAAGCAATAGAGTCCCTTAAACAGGATATGAATAATTCCCTTAGAGAACTGGATGAGAAGTACAACAAAAGGATTGAAGAAATGAGTAAAGAAATGGATGAGAAGTATAACAAAAAGTTTGAAGAAATGAGTAAATCCATGAATGATACACTGGGAAATCAAGAAAAAAACAATCAAACAGGTAATGGAAACAGTTCAAGAATTGAAAACTGAATTGGAGGCAATGAAGAAAACACAAAACGAGGGCCGACTGGATATGAAAAATCTAGGTAAACGAACAGAGACTACAGAATCAAGCATAACCAATAGGATACAAGAGATGGAAGAACGAAACTCAGAGTCTGAAGATACCATAGAGAAAATAAATGCTCTGATCAAAGAAAACAGCAAATCCAACAAATTCTCATCACAAAACATTCAAGAAATCTGGGACACAATAAAAAAAACCAAATCTAAGAATAATAGGGATTCAAGAAGGAGAAGAACTGCAGATCAAAGGACCAGAAAATATATTCAACAAAATTATAAAAGAAAACTTTCCCAACCTAAAGAATTATATTCCTATGAAGGTTCAAGAAGCATACAGAACACTGAATAGACTTGATCAAAAAAAAAACCATCCCCTCGCCATATAATAATCAAAACACAAATCATACAGATTAAAGAAAGAATATTAAGAGCTGCAAAGGAAAAAGGTCAAGTCACTTATAAAGGTAAACCTATCAGACTTACACCGGACTTCTCTATGGAAACCATGAAAGCCAGAAGGTCCTGGATAGAGGTACTGCAGAAACTAAGAGACCATGGATGCAAACCCAGACTACTATAATCAGCCAAGCTATAATTCACTATCAACGGAGAAAACAAAATATTCTAGGATAAGAACAAATTTAAACAATTCGTAGCCACAAACCCAGCCTTACAGAAAGTAATAGAAGGAAAATCACAACCCAAGGAATCCAACATTGCCAACACTGCCTATAATAACTCAGACATCTAGCAACCCTTCACGGGCTTAACTCAAAGAAAAGATACATACAGACTCTATTACACAAACAAACAAAAAATAATAATAACCGGAATCAACAACCACTGGTCATTAATATCACGTAATATTAATGGAATCAATTAACCAATAAAATGGCACAGACTAAGAGACTGGATACGAAAATAGGATCCAACATTTTGCTGTTTACAAGAAACACACCTCAACCACAAAGACAGACATCTACACAGAGTAAAGGGTTGGGAAAAGGTTTTTCAAGAAAACGGACCTAAGAAACAAGCAGGTATGGCCATTCTAATTTCCAACAAAATTGACTTCAAACTAAAATCAATCAGAATAGATGGAGATGGACATTTTATACTCATAACAGGAACAATTCATCAGGAGGAAGTCTCAATCCTGAAGATCTATGCCCCAATATAAAGCCTCCTACTTATGTAAAAGAAACACTTCTAGAACTCAAAGCAGTCATCAATCCACAGACACTAATAGTAGGAGACTTCAACACTCCTCTCTCACCAATGGACAGGTCTATCAGAGAGAAACCTAGCAGAGAAATAAGAGAATTATTGAAGGTATTGAATCAAATGGACTTAACAGACACCAATAGAACATTCCACCCAAATAGGAAAGAAGATACCTTCTTCTCTGCAGTTCATGGAACCTTCTCGAAAATTGACCACATACTGGGTAACAAAGCAAACTTCCACAGATACAAAAAAAATATTAGTAACCACCTGTGTCTTGTCAGACCACCATGGATTAAAGTTAGAATTCAACAACAGTGCTACCCCCAGGAAACCAACAAATTCATGGAAGTTGAACAGTCAACTACTGAATCACCCCTGGGTCAAGGAAGAAATAAAGAAAGAAATTAAAGTCTTCCTTGAATTTAATGAAAATAAAGACACAACATACTCAAACCTATGGGACACTATGAAAGCAGTGCTAAGAGGAAAGTTCATAGCACTAAGTGCCCAATTAAAGAAAACGGAGAAAGCACAAATTGGAAACTAACAGCACACTTGATAGTTCTAGAAAAAAAAAGAAGCTGATTCACCCAGGAGGAGTAGAAGACTGGAAATAATCAAACTGAGGACTGAAATCAACAAAATAGAAACACAGAAAACAATCCAAAGAATCAATGAATCAAAAAGCTGGTTCTTGGAGAAAATCAACAAGATTGACAAACCCCTATCCAAACTAATCAAACGGCAGAGAGAGAACATGCAAATTAATAGGATCAGAAATGAAAAGGGGGACATAACCACAGACATAGAGGAAATTCAGAGAATCATTAGATCTTACTACGAAAATTTACACGCCACAAAGTTGGAAAATATAAAAGAAATGCACATTTTTTTAGATAAGTACCATATACCAAAGTTGAACCAAGACCAGGTGAAAAATCTAAATAGACCTGTCAGTCGTGAAGAATTAGAAGCTGTTATCAAAAATCTCCCTACCAAAA